CGATCATTTTAGTTTCCAGTATTTGTGAGCAGCTACTTTTATAAGCCCACCTAGACAATAAACTATTAAGTGTTAGGTCTAACTCAAAATGACGCCCTCCTATTTCCAACACCTCACACAACTCATAATTCTAAATGTCTAGAAATGTATGCAGGAGCGCCTACAGGAATTGAATGGATCTAAGATGTGAAAAAATGGTCGAATATTGTCCTCGAAGTAGTGCATAGTACGTACTCACGGCTTATAAGACTAGAACAAGCAGACTGACAAATGGGTTACGCTAGGGTTACGTGCTTTTCTGAACATTGTTTGAATACTTTAGCAACAAAACTAAGGAAGATTTTACGAATTCAATCATCAGACACCAGGTAGAGGTACAACACATAGCTAAGACTAATCATACTTGGAAAGTACGAAAAGTATATGTACAGAAAACACTAAATTTATTTTCCAAAGTAGAAGCGACTGCAATTAAGTGACTCAGACCTGATAAGAGTATCCGAAAGGGAGATGTGACCAATCTTCAACTGCTGTGGTTACTGGGTACTTATTTTTGTTGTTGCATCCTAATCATTCCTAGTCAGTCTCATTCATTGCGTTATTATTACTTCTTAACTTATGATTACTACCACTACTCAAACACATAATCTTATTCTTTTTCTTCTTGAACTTCTCTGATCGATTAATGTATTGTATCTTCTGAATTTCGCTCACGTCTCAAACAGTGGTTATTCATTCACTTACAGATCCACTAACAACAACTCTCATTATTTCTAAGCTGTCTGAATATTCGATGAGGGGCTTTGAAATGAATTGAATTAATGTTATCCTGACAACATTTTATTCTTGTGATGAAAAATGGATTTCCTGAGCGATTGACTGGAAACTGAGACAGTTTCAACAGATTCTTCATCTTCTTACTATCATGACTGTCATTTTTGTTATTACTTTCAGGAGGTATTCGCAAAAGGCTATTTCTGTAAAACCTAATCAACTTCTATAGTTGGATCTTGGAAGTTGGTCGGTCGAAAGGCTTGGAGACAAGTTTCGTTCTTATTGACAATCATCTGTAGGGAGTACAAAGTGTATAGGAAAAGGCATGTTTCTTCGAAGATCTGAATTCACATGACTCATTTATCAAGTAATATGTGTAGTAATCTTTTATCGAAAATCAGCAAAACTCGATTCTTCCAGTTGGTATTCATCTCCACTTGGATGGCTCCACTGGTCACGACTTCTTATAGGAACTTCGAGAATCACCCCTCGAAGCTAGTCACAAATGAGCGCTAGATTAATTCAATATGGAGGTTTGTGGAGATTTATTAGTTGACTTCAGGATGGTATTCATCATGGACTGACATCAGTTGGAGGAACATTGGAAACCTGGAAACACTGGACAGCTCTTTCTTCCTAGTATGGGACGCCTTAGAAGAGCGCACCCAAGATCACACCAGAGACTGATCCCTGGAAAATAACTAAATCCCCAAGAAATCCCATATTAAAGTTCGATTCGTTTAATAATTTGTGTAGCTAGTCGTTTCTATGTCGACTGGTCTGCACCGAGATCTGATGAACCCAGTTCTGAACATGCACTATGTTGCTTAAACGTGTAGATGAAATATTAACCTGCCCCTGAAAGCAGCTAACTTTTAAGAGAATTTCGAAAGCACGAGCGTAATCGCTTAAGAAACGCAGTGAAATGACCTGAAATGATTGGCACAAATGATTTACAAGTTTTCAGCTATTGCTTTGCTTAGATTGAGTACTCCGAAAGAAGGTGGATACATAGACACAACAGTCATCTTATACTTTTAGTCTGTCAGAATATTCAACAAACATATCGAGTGTGACTGGATTGAACAAAATGCAGCAACACTTTCAGTACTGGATACATCGCATCCACTGTTGCTCTATAATAACCATGATAATTGATCCATATCATCAAAGAGAAAAGAGAAACAAATATACAATCTATAGTAGCATACGCCCATAAATAGTAATAAGCGGATAGCATAATCTCAAATATCATAACAAAAAGTGATTGTATTGTTGTGTATGACAAAAATTGTTTTGATTACTGCGTACGTATGTCTGTCTGTATGTGCGTATGCACTCAGCTATTTAGTGAGAAAAATGAATGCATCAAATGAACACAATGTGATACGAACTACGACTGTCATGGTATCGATCGATATCACTGCACTGCATCTCACAATGAACACATACACACATATACACCCACATTTGAACGGACCAATAGTTTAGTGGTACACAAACTGATACATGCCTTGCCATAATACGGTTTAGCAAAAAATGGTGAAAATTATAAGGATGATAAGTACACCTAGTAATGTGTATGCATACATAATTGCGCTCACGGGGACAACATGTGGCAAAGTTGAATGACCCCAAACTCCTAATGAACCTCAGAATAACGGTTAATTGGTACAAGTGCAAAAATCAGTACACAAATCCGCTCATTTGGAAATAAACATGACAGTAATTATGTCTAAAAAAACAAAACAACTAAGACAGCTATGGACACGGTTTACGATAAGAGTTCTATGAATAGGAATGGTGTGCTAAGTCACGGGCTATAGATTGAAACATAAATAAGCAACCAAGCAATGAATTATTTATTGATACTGGTGAATTTTTCCCGTTATACTGAATCGACCTCGCTTAATATATGGACTCTGGTGTTTGAAGCGATAGGTGTATGGTTCGAGTTTCAGTGGGAACAACGCTACTCACCAGGATGTCGGCAGATCTAGCTGAGAAGTACTAAATAGAATTAAACGTGCATCTTGGATTCCACTACTAGCCACCACCAAGTAAGCTATAACAAGCACTAGATTGTTCAAAGTTCATTCTGTTCCTTTAGGCAAAGGCTGATGGTGGAGTTAAGAAATAGAGTGGATATAAAGTAGGCATTATTTATCAAAGTCAACAAAACTACTGATAATTTATTGAAGATAAGAAAGCTGTAGCAGACGCCGCCAGTAATGCATTGATATGTAGGAAAAAATGAGTGACTGATAATGTGCATGGGTGAGACACTTTCTAAAGATCAAATCCAAAAGTTAAATCCAAAACACAGCGATCTGAACCAACAGATGCGTTAGGATTTGCTTCCATTTAACTTATTATAATTTGTTTCAATTTATAAACAGTTAACATGCATGCCATAGCGAGAATTTGACATATATAATCACTCGCGAACCATTGATAGGTACAAGTTGCATCGAAGCTCCCTTGGTTAGAATTTGAGAAGTCAAGCCATAGATACATTCACGCACATACCCTTAAATGAACCATGGTCATTCAGCCAATACCATATAATGCTCCCCCAATTGATGAACCTCAAATACGAACACCAAAATGAGGAAAGAGGATGAAAGATGAAGAAATGAAAACAATGTGATTAAAAGTCATAGAAATCAACAAGAAGGGAGGAAAGGTAACATAAAGTGACAAAATGTGATATGACGATTATGATATGGTTAATGTGTAGATGCATCTGTGTCACTGTGATAAATTCTGAGTTATATTATAAAAAGTCCGCAATCATCGATTTCAGTTTCCCATCAAAGAAACTTTTATTTCCCTATAGGGCAGCCTGGCTGTTTAATCTAATTTTAGCCTGGAAATACTTCGGTTAACATTGCGCATCAGTGTAAGTGGTGAACAGCTATGCACAACACAACCAAACCACCCAAGTATGTGAAGATCCAAAACTTCATCATCTGATTTGACTTTTCACCTAGTGCTCTACGTTTTGCCACTGCTTTGACGGTGTGATGATTGGACTTACTTCTAACGTAAGTGAAGTGATCAGCACGACCAATCACTTCATTCTCCACAGTCAGATGAAGTACAGACTGGTGTTGAAGCTGCTACTTGCATTCGTGGAGGTGGAAATCAATCCCAAACATTCTCGAATTGCTGCTGTTTCAACGCATATAAATAACCTGACACCTCGACCTACGCTCTAACACAATGATAGGTATTTGAATAGAGAGCCTTCAAAACGGTGATGCTCTTGCTTAACACGTCTTTCATTGAGATATATTGTTCGAAGACCTTTCAATTTATGGAGTAAAATGACGCCTTCAGGTCCAATAATAAAGTTGATGTCGATTACCGGTAAGTGTGCCTGAGTTCTAAGAGCCGGAAGAAGCTGAAAGTTTAGTTGATACCTATACAACTAAGTCTGAAAACCACCTGGGTTTTACAAATTTTGCTGTTCCCAAGAATCACTGAGGCTTTTAGTGGTTATAAAATATAAGATAACACATACTTTTTCCGTTAAACTGACTCTTCTGTGTTTCTCACTGTTGAATTTTCTTCCCCCCTTAAGAACAGAGACAAACGGTAGCTGACACAAGTCAGAGAGGGTCACATCTGATTTTCTTACTTCAACTAGAACTCCAGTCACTCTAGTTAAAATCTTGAACCACTGTCCAAAAAACCTATGATGCTACCCTATCGAAGCATATCGGTTAACTCCAGACTAGAGAAATGTGAATCATCGGTAACGGAAGACCGCAATACAGTGAACCGTGTGGCGCTTTTGGAGCAAATCTTCTATTTTTCCTCCCTATCTCGATCACACCGAGTAAAGTCAACAGTACGACTTGGAGGTGTATGCCATAGCATAAGCGTTTTAGATGAGTACAGTAAATACTTCTTGTCTTACCATATATCAAAAGATGTTTTCGACATGGTAGGACCTCAAGGAACAAACGTCCCCACCAAAATAGTCCATTGAGTTAGTGTGATATAAAAGCCCGACCATTATGCAACAGCTGTCAATAGGGATTGAACGACATTGAACACTGGTTTAGAAATTAACGAGATGATATTAGGAAAATACTATTTTCTCGTATTTAAAATAACATAAACACTAGCATCAGGAGAGAACGATTTCCGAGAAACACATATGGTCAAGTAACAGCATATATTCATTATAAAAAAGGCAAATCAAAAAATGAACATACTTTAGTAACTTTTTCGGATTGTAACGCCAAGGTGTATTGGTTTCCAAAAGATGAATAGAATAGCCGTATTTTACACCCTTGAATATTCAAGACCAAAAGGAAATCAGTGAACCACTAAAACAGACGACATGTCAATAGAAACCCAGTAATTTCGTTTATATCAAATAATAATTGTTCACCTCACCTGATCAACTAGTTCACTAGTCACTAACCAGCACTAAGCCTGGATAAAAAGGGAAGATTGGACAAACGGCTAGCAACTATACCCCGTAAAACCAATCCAACGGCTACAGAAACATCAAAGCACAGACAAAATATAAAAAATAAAAACAAACTTATTCCTCACTGGAATCGGAGAGACGAAACGACACCAATTTGTGAAAGCCTTCGGAAAGTTAACTGACTGATGTGTCTTCTCTCGATGAAGCCAAAAGAAAACATGGGGATATGGAATATCCACACGATATTTGAAGCTGGCTGGCGAGGTTGCCCAGATTGCCAAACAGATGAAAAGATATCGCATAGAAGTGCTACAAGTCTCGGAAAGCAGATGGATGTCCCCGAATGGTCTTCTCAGTGTATGCACAATCCAATCCATCTCCACTTCCTTCTGCTGAGTTGTTGAGCGATAGCTTCTTGATTGGTTCGTCGCCAAGCAGCCAGCCAGAGTTCCTTGTTGCTTATTCTTATTATTCTGGCCATATGATCTTATCTTCAGTAACGAACCAGCGTAGGAGGCAGTTGTTGATGAGTATCTGTAGTTTGTTGGAAATCCCTTTCGTAACGCACCAAGTCTCTGAACCATACAGAAGCACTGACTTGACGTTGGTGTTGAAAATCCGGATGTTGTTCACGCTTTATGCTGAGTGCAGTGCAGTGGATCTCCACACTGGTTTCAGGCTAATGAACGTCAGTCTTGCTTTTCCAATCCTGGCTGACTTTGACATCCTCGTCTGTGCCTGTGGTGCCTGTAGTTGAAACAGTGCTTCCTAGATAGGTGAAGTAGGTTACTTCCTTTAAGTTTCTCCCGTTGATGGTGACTGGAGTTTGTTGTTGTTGTTGGTATTGTTGGTTGGGTATCTTCATCACCTCTGTCTTCTCTATATTCACTTGAAGTCCCATCTTCCTTCGCTGTCCTGCCTCTTCTGTCAACTTGTTAGTTTTCGCCTGTACATTTTCGAGTTTGTGTCATAAGACATTAGACATAAATCATCATCAGTGGCGGCGAAATCCAAGTCCTCTAGCTTCTTTTCCACGGTTCAGCCAGCGTATCCTCCTCCGCTCGCTCCTCACCGTTTCTTGCATGATCCAACTCCAGTCCACTACAATCAGGAATATCATGGGTAATAGTAGACAGTCTTCTTACACTCCTGTCTTCACTTCGTAGGCATCACTGAGCTTCCCATTTTGAATTACTTGGCATGTGGCACCTTCATATAGTTGTTGAATGAGATTGATAAAGGTTTGTGGCATTCCGTAGTGTTGAGGCAGTTGTCTGCCAAATTACTTCTCGGTCGACGCTGTCGAAGCAAGGCCTTCTCAAACTCGATGAAGTTGAGGTGAAGATCCAGTTGACTTTCATTCTATGCTCTGTTCTTTGATGATGCGTAGTGTGGCGTTACAATTTGGTCCATACATGATTTGTACTTCCTGAATCCAGCCAGTCTGTTCCGGTCGTAGTTGTGAATCCAGCCCATCCTTTAGTCTCTTCAGGATGATGCGGCTCAATATTTTGCTTGCCTTGGTTGGACAGGAGTGGAGTATGATTCCGTGCCAGTTCTTGCAAACACTGAGGTCTCCCTTCTCTAGAAGTTTGACAAGGTAGCCCTTCTTCCAATCAATGGGCAGGTACCTTCCCTTCCCTCAACACCTTCTGCAACAGTGGTATAAGTGAGCATGCCGCTGTTGTCTCTGTGTCTGTTCTCAGTGCTTCTGGCGGGATTCCATCTGGTCCCACTGCTTTCCCACATTTCAGGAACTTTATGGCGCTGAGAACTTCGACTTTTGTTGAAGGGCTTGTGTTCACTGGTAGGGTAGTTCTGTGGCTGTAGGTGGTATTTCTGGACAAAGTTCAGGTTGTGGTTGTGATGGTCGATTCAGGAGTTTTGTGAAGTGGTCGGCTCATTGTTTCCTTTGTTTCTCTTCTTTGGTAATTGAATTCCCGTCATCATACTTTATTGGTTTCGTCTGTGTTGATCTCATCCTTCCCAGATAGTAACCTGTTTATTTGATACAATGTTGTTAGGTCTGTATGTCTTCTACCGGCCTGCAGCCTGTTCTGCTTCACTTGCCAATGTGTCGTACAAGTGTCTTTTGTCTTTCCACACACTCTTCTTCACTTCTTTGTCCAGTGTAGTGTTTTTTATGTTGTACTCATTTCCTCTTGTCGTCGTTGAGCATCCTTGCACTGCACTGGTTTATCTTCTGCTTCACCATCACTATCACGATCTTCCTCTCCCTGCTCTATCACCTTCCATGTGGAAGTCCGTCAAGATCCATTCCTTATCTCATTTCTTCTTCCTTCCCAATACGGTTATGCAGGTTTCTTTCCACATAGCTTTCAAAGACTTCCAGTGCTCATCTACACAGGTTTCTTCAGGGATGTTGCTCGATATCCCCCATGTTGTCTTGATGACTGGCTGACGTGAAGATTTTCTTACAGGTTCCGTCCTTCAGTTTCCGAGTGTTGAACTTCAATTGTGGTCTACCACCAACTTCTGTGAAGGCTTTTAACTTGTTGATTTGGAAGGCAGGTTCCTTGCACTAGATGGTGAGTGGTCTGAGCAAACATCTGCTGCTCTTCTTGACCTCGTGTCAAGTAGGCTGACTGCGTCTCCACTTTCGTGAGATTGAGATGAAGTCGATCTGACTTTTAGTGTAGTGTGTCCTGGTGTCTGGTGAAATCAAGTACATGTCGCTTTGTGGATATCCTTGTGATTGAACACACTACCTGACTCCAATCACCAAATCGTTGAATGCACAGAATTCTGCAAGCAATTCTCCATTCTCGTTCATCACCTCACCGAGAGCTTCTCGACCCATGGTTAGTTAGTTCTCTTCCTGTGTTGTCCTATCTCAGTTTGGCATTCATGTCACCTATTAGAATTTTGATTGACGTTGTCTACGCTATGCACCTACAAACAATGCAGATGAAGAGAAGAAGGAGGAATTCTACAAACAACTGCAGTCAGTCAGTACTCGACAACACACCACTACCACTCCACTTCGCGACAACGACATCGAAATTCATTCGAATCGGTGAGGTGACATGAAGGCGAAACTGGGGGTAGAATACACAGGAAGAGAACTGATCATCATGGGTCGACAATCACTCGGTGAAGTGAAGGAGAATGGAGTAGTGTTTGCAGACTTCTGCGAATCCAACGATTTGGAGATTCGAGACGGCGCGAGGCGAGGCGAGGTGAGGTGAGGTGAGGCAGTGTGTAAAAGCACAAGGATATTCACAAGGCAGCGATATGCATTCGATTTCACCAGACACCACATGGACACACTACACCAAAAATCACATCAACTTCATCTCAATGTGAAGAAAGTGGAGATGGAGATGCAGCCTACTGCACACAACATCAAATCAAGATGGGGAGCAGATATAGGTGGTTGACACCACTCACTCACTATCTAGTGCAAGCAACCTACCTTCCAAATCAAGTTGGAAACCTTCAAAGGAGTTGGTGATGATAGACCAGAGTTCAAGTTGAACACCCAGAACAGAAAGTGAATTGAAGGACGAAACTACAAAGGACATCTTGACATCAGTGAGTCAGTGAGTCAGTCAGTCAGTCATCTCGACAAAATGGGAGATATTAATCAACACCCTTGAAGAAACCTGTGTGGAAGAACACTGGAACTCTGTGAAACAGATGTCGAAGGGAACCTCAATCACCGTGTTAAGCAGGAAGAAGAGAAGGAGAGACGAGACGAGACGAGGAATGGATATTGACGGATCTCCAAATGGAAGCTGATGAAGGAGGGAGCGTAAGATGGTGATGGTGATTGTGATTGTGATGCTGAAGCAGAAGATGAACCAGTGTAGTGCAGTGTACTGCAGTGCAGTACAATGCATTGTAGTGGAGTGGAGTGGAGTGATGAACAACGAAAAGTGGAACTGAACACAACCTACAAAACATTACACTGAACAAAGAAGTGAAGAAGAGTGGGTGGAAAGGCGAAATACACTTGTACGACACACTGGCAAGTGAAGCAGAACAGGCTGCAGGCCGGTTGGCTGACAGGCTTTGAGAAGAACAAGTCATTTGTGGATCAAATTGCATTGCTGCTCTACGCATCATCATACAACAGAGCATAGAATGGAAGTCAACTGGATCTTCACCTCAACTTCATCGACTTTGAAAAGGCCTTGCTTCGACAGCATCGATCGAGAAGTAATTTGGTATACAACTGCTTCAACACTACCGTTTTAGTGCGACTAACCCTTATGCACCACATTGAACAGCTATAGGCTATATGCTATGCTATATGATGCTACATGCCAAGTGATTGACAATGGAAAGCTCAGTGATGCGTTTGAAGTGAAGACAGGAAGGAGGAAGACAAGGTTGCCGCCTACTATCCCCGATGGTCTTCCTAATTGTGGTGGAGTGTGGTGGAGTGGAGTGGAGTGGATCATGCGAGAGACAACTGTGATGAGCTGTGAGAAGATGGGCATACTCTGGTTGGACCGATGAAAAGACCCGAGGAGGAGATTTGGATTTCGCCGCCGCCGCCGCTGCCGCTGCCGCTGCCGCCGCCACCGCCGATGATGATGATGATGATGATTTATGTCTAATGTCTTGTGGCACAAACTCGAAGATGTACAGGCGAAAACCAACAAGACAACCAACATGACAGAAGAGGCGGGTCAGCGAAGGAAGAAGGGACTTCAAGTGAATGTAGAGAAGTCAGAGGTGATGGAGACATCCAACCGACAACAGCATCAACAACAAACACCAATCACCATGACTGGGAGAAACTGAAAGGAAGTTGTCTCCTTCACACCTACCTACGTGCCTACATCGCTAGCTAGGCAGCATCGTTTCAACTGCAGGCGGCATAGACA